TATGCATGAGGTCTGATTTAACATGAACACTATTTCTTGTGTACGAGACCATATGCCTCCGTGCTGTCTCTATAGCCTAATAATACCCAGTTCCACCCTGGTCAGGCTCGGCAGGGAGATGTGTCCACTGCTGTGTGTGGTTGGAGATGGGATGGGCTGGGGAAGGGTTGTAGCACGGTGGTGCTCCTGGTCCTTGGGTCATTTGAGGAGAGTCCATTAAGATGCTGTGAAGGGAGGTGGGAAGCAGGGGGTGGGTTAGACTCTTGTAGTGTAGACAAATGAAATGGTAGTGTGTGTGTGTGTGTGTGTGTGTGTAGGACATCAGGAGCCTGTGACGAGGTGAAACTGGGTTCATCACAGGGCCATGTGGGGGCCTGTGCACAGCGAGGTTTGACTGTTCAAGGATGATGGTGGGATGGGTAGAGCTAATTGCTGTGTATGTTTGTATATATACACGCATATGTATGTGTGGGGGTGTGTGTTTAAAAAATAAAATCACACATACATACAAACACACAGCCTAACTTTAATTATCTGAAAGGAGCAGGAAGAGATCTGGGAGGAGCTGGGGCAATGACGGGCAGGGATGGATCTGGAAAGCAGGTTTGTGGGGTAAGTGCTTAGAAATCTTGAAAGGAGACCCCGGGTGGCGGGGTGTGTGTTTGGTCAAACAGTACATGGGCTGGGCACCTGGACTCCCAAGAGTTCAGTGCCAACCACCAGAAGGCTGGGTCTGGAAGGCCGTGTGTGTGTGTGTGTGTGTGTGTGTGTGTGTGTGTGAGCTGGTGAGAGGAGTGATGGGGATGTGTGAGGAGGGATGGAGGAAGCAGTGTGTGGTAGTGGGTTTCTGAGCGTGACTGTGCGAGTGGATAATAGTTGGTAAGTGGCAAGGGAAGGGTCACAAACAAGCATATTTTTGTCTGTGTGTGGAGCGGGATTGCTTCCTTTGGGGCCTGAAGTCAGCTTGGCTCTAGCTGGCAAAGCCTGTGGACTTGGAAGGAGGGCTTACTCAACAATTAGGTGTTTCTGGTGACTGGTGTCATGTCCCAGCTCAGGGACCAATAGAGGGCAGTCCTCCCACATGGAGTCTTGAGCGGCACAAGGGAACCCCTGGCAGACCTAGCCAACACTAACTCCAGGGCCTTCATGTGTGGCAGGGGAGGACAAAACTGAAGAGTCTCTAACCTGAGAGCCAGGGAAGATCTTCTTGGCTAAGCTTGTGGGAGTTGCTGGGCCAGATAACCCCCCTCACTCTACCTTCCGCCTAGGTGGCTCTCCTTTCCGGAGCTAAAGTCCTGTTGTGGAAAGTTCAGGAAGGAAGACGGCTGGCCCTGGGTGGGTCACATGGACTTATCTTCTTCTGTGCAGTCCCTGAGGCTGTCTGGGATCTTCCAAGTGGGTCCAACTGGGCAGCTGTGGTTAGGAGCCAGGTAGAACATTCTTGAGACAAGGGATGATTGCTGGGGACTTAATGCCAGGCAACACAGAAGCCCGTATAAAGTGGGGCAGGAGGTGAGGGAGAATACCAATGTGCTTGGTGTTCAGGACAGGGTACCTTCCGGATTTGACTTGATGATCACAGGTGACCACGATGGCTACCTTTCTTCTTTTCACCCACACCTCTGCAAATGCTCTAGATCAAATTCCCAGAACAATATGGCTTCCCCTCACCAGCACGTGGCTCTGGGATCAGGCCTGGATTTCACACATGCAATAGAATAAACAAATATCAGCAGGTAGGTGTTCTCATGAGACCAGTCAAGCTCTCATGAGCTGTGGCTACACGATGACAAGAAACAATTCTGAGTGTAAAAGGTGAGAAATGGCCTCAGAAATTCCACGTTTGCCATGGAGAATTGGGCTTCTTTGGAGGTTTATATTAGGAACATGTGCCTCTTTCGGACAAATGAAAAGTCTGGGCAACTTCGGAGCAAGCAGGAAGACACCTGCGTACAGGAAATACAGAAGCCTACAACTGATGCGCCCTTTCAAAAAACTATTTTGCCAAGGGGTTAGAACTCTAGGTTGTCGGAGCAGGAATCTAGAGAAGCCCTAGGGACTTCTGCTCTGAAGGGGTTATCACTGGGTAGAGCTGTCTCAGGCTGGTGTCTCATTAAGTAAAATCTTCGCACTGCAAGGTTTCTCCCACCCCCTTCTCCACCTTTCCTTCTTTTTGTTCTACTCCTCAGCTGCCGCTGGTTCTTGGGAGGGAGGCTGCATTGTTTTTGCTATTTTTGAGTTGACTTGCTGAAATAATAAGCCCACCCTCTTGTACAAGATTAAGAGACAATTAGGAAATCAATCAATCAATCGGTGTCAGCTGCAGGCAAGAGGCCAGTGAAAGCCGCCCCTCCTCTCCCCGAGGCCTTTCCAATCTCAAAGCCCTAGTAGATACTCTGGGCAGGCAGGGGCTGGGAAGCCAAGTGTCCGTTGCTTCCTTTTTGGGGACCTCCCTAAGGCAGGTACAAATCTAGGGGTGAAGAATTAGGTAGCAAAGAGGAGAATATGGAATGGCTTCAGAGTTTTGTATTTAATGGAACCTGAAATGAGAAGCTGAGGTAGAGTGGCCAATGACTCCTGACCTTGTCATCTCAGCCCACAAGTCACTGTCTCTTCCTTGAGAAGCACAAGGAGGCTCAGCAGGGACTCCAGTGCCCATCACAGGGCTATTCATGAACTAAAAAAAAAAAATAATTTAAACAAACTTTTAAAAAGGTGCAGAGAGTGAGCGAGCTTTTGAAAAGTGCGGGAGCCTCTGTGTGTGGAGACAAGACCCCTTTGGACTTGAGGGGCAGAACCCAGAAAAGCCACCAGGAACCAGCAGTTATCCCAAGGTTCTAGCCCAGCCAGGGGACACCAGTTTGGGGGGCCTGGAACATCTGACTCAGGGGATCACCCAGTCCTCCAGCTAGAGCCAAGGGCTCTCCAAGGCCCAGACTTGAGCAACTTCCGGGACCTGCAGGCCTCCACACACCCCTGCACCAAGGGAACAACTTTCTCTTCAGACAAGCCACTGTGCCTTCAAGTTTTGTCCCACAAAGAGCAAGAGGGACCTTGTGTGATTTCTCCAGGGAAGGCGGAAGAACCGTGGTCTATGGTAGAAACGGGAACTTTTAAAGGAAATCCTCTTGGGTTTTGAGCCGAACTGAGACCTGCCCCTGGTACAGGGGCTTCTGAGATGCTGCTACTTAAGAACTGAGAACACCCCAGAATGCTTTCCCGTCAGGTCCTGACATGGTCTCCCTTTCACCAGCCCTCATCTCTCCCCATCATGCTGTCCTTCCGTGTCTGCCCTAGGAGGTATGTCAAGCCTTTCCCACAGCATGGCTTACCTCCCTGCTACTTTCCAAGAGTGGCTGGGGCTGGTGGTTTGTCTGCAAAGCTTAACTAGCTTTGCCTAAGCAAAGACAGGACTCCCTCCCAAGCCGACTTAGTTCTGCAGGACCACTGAATAGACTTCAGTCTGGACCCACCAGGCGTCCACTGCATCTAGGTGGTCTTGGTACCATTTGTTTGGATGGAGAACCAGTTGGGATAGGATGGAAAGGCTTGACTAAGTTCCTAGTTGCCCTATGATGATGAAACTTGTCTTGGAGGTACATGGAGTGCAAGGTTAGGGGCTGGCTTGTCAGGCAAGAGAAGCAGCTTCAAGGCTGGTAATCCAGGAAGAGGTGAGCTGCTTCTTTCATGGCTGACCCCAGCTGTACTTGGTGTCAATGGTTTCCTGTCCTAGGCCCTGATCTGGTCAATGGGAAAAGGATGCAATTCATTTTCCCTAGACTGGTGTACTTATTTGGGCCAGGTGCCCAAATGCTGACCAAGCAACAGGCAGTCCTGATACTGACCAGGAAAAAGGCTGGCGGTTCCTTTCCAGAATTTCGGGAGAGGGAACCAGGTAGCAGAATCTCACACCTTCCCAGCAAAACAAGCTCTAGCAGTAAAGAGAACAGGACACAGCCCTGGGGTACATGTTTATGTGAGTAATAAAATATTTACTATAACATAAATATAAAGGGAACTTCCCAGTCTACATTATTTTTTTTGCAATAAAGATACAAAGAGAATGCACCAAACATTGTTCCAAAATAATAAAAATAAAATAACAAAATTTAAGCTCCAACGTTAACAAACATGAAGAATTGGTGAAGGGGGAAGCTCCAAACACATCCAGAAAATAAATAGAGATGGGTCAGAAATCAGTAAACCATATTAAAATATCTTTTTCGGTTTAGTCGGGCGTACAAAACCCAGGGAGGGGCAACAACCCAGAAACCAAAAAATAAAAACCAAGCACAAAAGGTTTCTTCCCGCCCCCCGCCAGTGTGTACATATCTCACATATTTACATGGTTCCCACCTCACCCCAAATTTGGAGAATTTCTCTCCAGCTTTCCCCCAGCATCCCGAGGGGGCTGGAAAGAGCAGGGGGAAGCGATAGGGAATCAGGCGGAAGGTTCTTGGGGGAATGGTTTATTTCTACAGCTGGTTAAAAAATAGTTCCAACTTTTCCAAGTTTCGTTCGTTAAGGCCAGGAGGGGCAGGGCCCGGCGGGGAAGCAGCGGCCCGCGGTGCGTGCTCGGTCTTGCGGGTGGAGATGCCCCTTCCCACCCGGGTGTGCGTGGGAGCGCAGACCCTATCCGCTAGGCCAAGAACCGAGCCGAGAGCTCGGGTAAAACGAAACGAAAATGAACACTCAAAAAAATTTTTTTGTTAGTTTTTTGTTTTTGTTTTGCGTTCTTGGAGGAAGGAGGAAAGGGTATGAGAAAGGGAAAATAAATTAAGCTAGATTAAAGCTTTGGCTATTTCCTGCTTTTATACAGATGCGGCTCTCGTGGCCTCCCCTCTGGGGCCCCGATAAATACAGTATACAGCGATTTAAATTAAGGGCGCGGGCGGAGTTAGAAGGACCCCAGGAACCTAGAGGCTCCACGAATAAATAAAAACCGCAAAAGAAAAAAAAAAAAAAGAAAAAAAAAGAAAAAAAAAAAACAAGCCCGGAGAAAGGGTGAGGGGCTGGGGTGCTGGGGTGCAAGAGAAGAGGCGCGGAGAGAATAAAGTGACAGTCCCCCACCCGTGACCTGCAGGCTACAGGGAGTCCGCGCCCGGGAGAGCTGCGGGGGACTCTCTCTCTTCGTCCTTTCTCCCGGGAATCCCTAACCCCGCACCGCGTTACCTTTCGCTGTGGGGAGGCCGCTGCCGGGATCCGGCCCCGAACAGCCCGGGGGCAGGGGCAGGGGTCGTCGAGGGTATGGGGACAGGGAGCAGGCAGTGGGCAGAGGGCGCCCAGAATGAGTTGGCGCATTCCGGATCTTCGCTGCTCTCTCCCGGGACTCGGGCGACACAGCCTCTCGGCCGCCCTTTGCCGCTCGCCAGAGAGGGGTTCGGTCCGGGGTTGTTTGGTTTTGTTTAAAAGTTTCTGTTTTTTTTTTTCCTTTTTGTAAAATCCAAAGCAACCGAATAAAGAACAACAAAAAAAAAGAGTCTAGGCCGCGCGGGCTGATTGCGCGCCGGAGGCACCGCTGCGTCGGTGGGAAACCCAGCCCGCAGGGTCACTGCACTGAGCCGGGCAGTGTGTGGTGGTGGTGGTGGTGCAGCGCGGCCGGAGGCGGTGGCGGGGGCGCAGAGGGTGGCGACGCGCCGCCCCCGCCAGGCCCCAGCTCCCCAGGCGCGTAAACGTCGTCCATGGGCGGGTGGCCCGCGCCGGCCGCGGGGGTCATGCGCTTCTCCTTCTGCCGCCGGTTGCAGAACCAGACACGCACCACCTCCTTCTCCAGCTGTAGACTGTCGGCTAGGCCGGTGATCTCGTGCGCAGAGGGCTTGGGACACTTGAGAAAGTGGCTCTCGAGCGCGCCTTTGACTCCCACCTCAATGGACGTGCGCTTCTTGCGCTTGCGGCCCTGCGCCGCGATCTTGTCCAGGTTGGTGGGACTGCCGCTGGACGAGTCGGTCTCCTCCAGCCACTTGTTGAGCAGCGGCTTGAGCTTGCACATGTTCTTGAAGCTCAGCTGCAGGGCCTCGAAGCGGCAGATGGTGGTCTGCGAGAACACGTTACCGTAGAGAGTGCCCAGCGCCAGCCCCACGTCGGCCTGGGTGAAGCCCAGCTTGATGCGACGTTGCTTGAACTGCTTGGCGAACTGCTCCAGGTCGTCGGAGCTGGGAGCATCCTCGTCCGAGTGTTCGCCCACCGACGAGCCACCGCCGCCCGCGCCTGGGTGCAGGTGCGCCGCCGCCGCGTGCAGGCCGCCCGCGTGTGCATGTCCGTGTGCGTGTCCGTGTGCGCCCAGGTGCGGTGGCGGCGACGGCTCCAGCTGTGCCTCGTGGCCGTCCTCGTGCAGCGCGTGGTGCAGGCCGGGTCCCGCGCCGCCACCGCCCGCCGCCAGCATCCCGGCCAGGCCGCCGCCGCCGCCACCGGGGTAGGCCGCCTGCGCGTACAGCCCGAGCGGCTGGGGTTGGTGGCCCCCACCGGCCCCGGGCGACGGCGACATGGCGGGGCCCAGGTGGTGCGCTGTGCCGCTCTGTGCCCATGCCGCGCCCGCGTGGGCCGCCCCTTGGTGCACCAAGCGGGCGTGGAAACCGCCGCCGCCGCCGCCGTCGTCGGCTCGGCCGGAGCCGCCACCGCCCGCCTTGCCGTGTTCCAGGTGCGGGCCGCCGGCCCAGTCACCGCCACCTCCTCCTCCCGTGGGTAGCCACTGGGGGTGCGCTAGGCCCACGGGGTGGCCCGCGCCCGCGCCCAGCCACTCGTGGTGCATCAGCTTCTGCACTTCGCGGTACGCGGCCCCCGCGTGCAGCCGCTCGGCGGCCGCCGCCGCTGCCGCCGCTGCCGCGGCATCGGGATGCATGAGCGGCCCGGTGCCGCCAGCTCCGCCGCCGGGGCCCCGCGGCAGGTACTGAGCGGTGGTGGCCATGCCGCCCCGCGCCCTGCGCCGCGCCGCCGCCGCCGCCTCGCTCCGTCTGCGGGCCCCGCCGCCGCGCTCCGCCGGCTTAAAGCCGGGACCCAACTAGGCGCTCTTGAGCCCCACCCCTCCCGCCGCCCATTGGCTGCTCGCGGAGCCGCCTCCCGCCCCCCGGCCCCGGCCTCCGCCCCTCGTGCCCGCCCGCCGCCGGGGCCTGCAGCCCAGAGCTTGTCATTGGGCCTTGCTCCCGGGGTCCCGCGCGCCGGCCGTGCTGATTGGCCGCTGGGGCTTCATTCATGAGCCCCCCCCCCCCCCGTCCGCGTACACATTCACGCCCCGGGGGCGCGGCCGCCACGTGGGGAGTGGCGCGGGGGTGGCACCGGGACCGCACCCCCATCTCGTCCCCCCCTGCGTGGGCCCTGCTTTCCCCGCAGCGCGGGAGTCTCGGAGCCCTATCGGTCCCACGTTCCACACAACCTGAAAATCCGCCCGCATCCCAATGGGGTGGGGGGGATTGCTGGCTCCGGGAGGCGCTCCGGCTGCGAGCAGAGACTCAGCCCGGCACTCCTCCCCGCGCTGCGCCGCTGCCTGCGGGCCAGGATCCCGTGGGCTGCAGCGAGAGCGAGATGGCTTGGCTTCCCGGCTCGGTACCGCGCGGCTGCTCACCTCCGCGGCCTCGCCTACTGCGGCTTCAGGTCGCACCGTGCGCTCCTCTTCGCGCCGCTCCCACGGTCTCCGTTTCCCCCCCTTTTCTCACTAGACTCAACGTCACAACTACCGGGACCTCTGCGGCCCTAAAAGTGCAGCAGGCACAGACAGAGTCGGATCGGATCGGGCTTCACGCCTTTCGCCGGCTCTCCTTCCTTCTCCAGGGCACCGAGGCCAGGTGAGTACCGAGTGGGCGGTGCTGCGCCAGCGAGGACTGCGGGCGGCAGAGGCTCTACGCGGAGATGCGAGCTCCTATAACCAGCTCCGGGGTTCTGGAATGAGAGGACCTCGAGGTGGAGACTGGTTCCGGAGAAAGCGCCACCAGTGGGTGGGGGATGGCCGCTGGGCCCTGTCCTGCGCTGCTGAAGCCTTTTCGTGATGTTTCCTCCCAGCTTGAACCGGTTGTCGGTCGTTAGCGCTGGTTATGATAGGGTCATACAGGCGGGAAACTTGCAAGAGAGCGTGTGGGCTGACTCAGGGAAGAGCAGTTCAGAAATCCAATGTGTAGGCTGGCAGCTGTCCAGCCTTCCGTGGAGCCAACTCAGACTTGTCTGGTAGGGAATTGAGGAGTCCTTGTTGGAGAAGTGGACAGTGGAACGCCAATTTCTTCATCCCTGCCTGTTTTTGGAGTCTCTCCTAAGGATTCTGCGTGAGCAGGGCCTAAGCTGCAGCTGTTTTGTGCTTCCTTACCCTACATGGCTCACAACTTCTGCTTGTTTCTGCGCTGGGTTTTGGTCCACTTCCAGACCCCCTTCTGCGCCTCTAGTCTTGCTTCAAGGTGATTCAGAGGTTCCAGGGTGTCGAGCTGGGGGCCTAGCTAGGGTCTTACTGGATAAGTCCACTCAGGACTGGGGGGGCGAAGCCTATGTATTTGAAGAAAGGATCCAAGGACTCTGAACGCAGCTGCTGTGGAGATGATCTCACTTGGAACAGAGTTGACAGCCATCAGAGTTACCCTGGTTAGAGACAGTGTCCTCTAAGCCCCGAAGGCCCCAAGTCCAGCCCCTGGCTAGCCCCCAAGGGAAGGAGTGGAGGAGGTCAGGGGTTGTCTGATTACTGGCCACAGTCCTGAACAGGCCACCTTCAGGTCCCATTCTAGCTGCAGGAGTTTCATGGATTCCTTGTGTCTGAACCCAGATAGGATCTTGGCCCAGGAAGTAGTCACCTTGAGTCAGCTTCAAGTTCTTTTGGTCCACTTACCTGGCTGAGCCTTCTCCAGGACCTAAGCAGTGCAGAACCAAGGCTTGGATTCCTCCAGCGAAGTCTCTAGTGCCGGCCCTAACCAGACCCACATTCCTCTGAAGACTGGGCTCAAACTGGAGTTCTCCTGTCTCCCTGGTTAGAGTATTCTAGTCTGTTCTCTCTGAATTTGGCTTTCCAATTTGTAAATTGGGACTGGTGGTGTCTGACAGTCCTTCCGTCTCCCTGAGGCGAGCAGAGAGTGGTATGAGACAGTGCAGTGCCCCCCCACCCAAACTCCCGGGTTTTTCCCCCTCGTGCTTTTTCCTGTTGTTGGTGTCTCTTGGCTGGGCTACAAAGTCTGTTTCCTCATTTGTAAGTGGGCTATTCGGTTTGGACCAGTTTACCTCCTTTGTTCTTCCAGCTTTGACAGTCTGAGATTCTATACATCTACCTCTGGTCCTGCTGGAGGATGGGAAATGTCTGGGCAGCTGGCAGATAGGATGCCATACAGATTTGGGGGTTACCCCTGAGGCTCGAAGAACAGTGATCCATGGGCATGGTGCTGTTCTGCCCGTTGTTTGCCCTAAACCCTGGGAGAGCTAATGTCAGCATCCTCGGAGTGTAGAGAACAGAGCCGAGCCTTACTCATGCCTCCTACTCGTTCTTCTCTACATTGCTGTAGGTTGCAAGAAGTGGCAGTTTTGGCCTTCAGGGCAAAGATGGCCTACAGCCTTTTCTCTGGCCATGCTTGTAGGCAGGTCAGGGCTAGCTGGAAGCCGTGTCCCCTGATCAGTAAAGCACTACCCAAGGTCCAGCTTGTGGCCCTGCTCTTCTCTGTCCCTAGGCTAACATTCCTATAAGCAAGCAGCCTGGGTGAATCACTTGCTTCTTGGAGCTACGGCTTTTCCATCTTAAAGTGGGGACAGTGATGCCTGCATCTTAGGATTGCTCTGAGGCTCCAAGGACGGAACAAAGAATGTGATTTAAGTGTCCTTCCGGTACACAGCGGATGCTACCCGTGGGTGAGCAGCAGCTTCATGAACCAGGAAAGGTAAAATTCTTAACTCTGTGTTGGGAATTTTAGATCCTCCACAGCGATATGAGCTTTGAGTCTTATTTTTCCTCGGAGTTAAGTTTCTCGTGGAAAATCTTGGAATCCCTTTTCTTCTTGTTCTTGCTGATTGTGTGAGGACCGTCATAGGCCCTGGCTGATACCTGTACAACCAGAATGGCCCCTATCTCTAGGACAGCGGTTCTAGACCTGAGTCGAGACCCCTTTGGGGGTCGAATGACCCTTTCACTGGGGTTGCCTAAGGTCATTGGAAAATATAGATAAAACATAGATATTACAATTCATGACAGTAGCAAAATTATGAAGTTATGTAGTAGCAACGAAAATAATTTTATAGTTGGGGTCACGACAAGTTGTATTAAAGGGTCGTAGCACTGGGAAAGTTGAGAAGCCCTGTTCTGGGATCACTACCATCACAGACCCAGGGAGGAACTTACCTATATGACCACACTGCAACGCCGTGGTGTACACATGGAAGTCAGGTACCTTCTTGGCTGGTGCAGATGGGATAGTGAGGGCATGCCGGGAAATGTGCACTCTTACATATACTGGACATACAGATATGCAAGCTAACACGGGAATGCACGTTCTAATTCACCACAGGAACATGGAGTCTTGCTTCAGTAGGCTAAACATGCAGTTTCACAGAGTAATACCTAACAATAAATGCAGGCAGTAAATATGTCTAAACAGAGTCAGATACAGAACACTCATGTAGACTGAAATGGATCTTCCTTGTCTGACATGAAAAACATCTTGAGACCTGCGGGCCCCTGGGGTCACAAACACAGTGACTCTTGACTGGCACACAGTATTGTTCATGAACAGCTACACTTTGGTATCTGTTCGCACATGGAACTGGCCACACACACTCTCTTACCCGGGTGAACAGACACAAAGAGTTCTCCCCATCTCATAGACACACAGACGTCCTTATCCACTCTCTGAATGAACCATCAGGTCTGCCCAAGGTACCAGAAGGCAGGAAGGGGCTGTGCCCAATCCAGTGTTTGGTCCATGTGGTTTGTTGGTGATGTTAGCCTCGGGGAGATAGGAAAGCTCTCCTGTTTGTTTCCCCTCCCCTTCCCTTTTCTTGCCTGTGCAGGGCAGCTCCAAGCTAGACTGCTGCCAGTCTCAGGCTCCCCTGTGGGGCCCCTGCCCAGCCGGCCCCCAGGCAGGACCTCCTCAGCTTTCCCAGAGTGCCCAGCCTCCTCCAGGCTCTGGAGTGTGACCGAGCGCCTGCTCATTTGACACAGGTCACCGAGCCTCCAGCAGATGGGGCCCTCGCAGTGGGGGGCCTTTGAGCTGCAGGGCAGTTGGGGGTGGGGGTGGGTGTGGGGAGGGCTCTGAAGGGAGGAGTCAGAGCTAAGCAAGCTCCAAGCTGCAAAGCCTGGGATCACAAACGTAGACTTCCACGCAGGCTGCCACAGCTCCACTCTCGGAGGCTGTCACCATCAGTACCCTGGCAGCAATGCACTCACTGTTACAGTTCAGTTCCACGGCCCTGGGAGGGCAACTTGCATGAAGTGAATCTGGAGCACAAGTCTGGGGAGAAAGAGGTGCAGTCCTGCTTAGTGTCTCTTGGTGGCAGCTGGATCTGGCTGCTTTCCTCTTAGGTCTCTGAACCCCTGGAGCCTTCTTCTATTAGTCGGGAGGCTTGCAAGAGCAGGGGCAGCTCAGCTGTGGCCGGAAGCCTTTGTGGTGTGGGGGGCAGGCTCTGGAAGCGCCACCTGGAGCCCTTGCAAATCAGGGATGCCGGGAAGAGGTAAAGGAAGGAAAGAGGCCTAGGGTCCACCTGCTGGGCTGCTGAAAGAGCCTTGTCTTAGGTTCTCCCTTCCAAGGCTGACTGGGCTTGGATAGGACTCACCGCCCACTCCCTCTCCCTTCTGCCACTTCTCATGCCCTAGATCTGTTGTACATGAAAGCAGGGCCTGGGAGCCAGGGTCCTGGGTTTCATCTGCGCCTTGACTTAGGGCTTGTGGACCTTGAGCCAATCTCTGTATCCTGATCACTGTAACCTTTGACCTCGCCATAGCTTCCTTTATAAACTGGTCAGAATCGGCTCTGATGGC